TGCGGTCCCCCTCCCCCTTCCTGCTGGGGTGCTGTCATGGGAGGTCTAGAGGGGAACCTGAACTTCCACCCTCACCTTGAAGTGGCACCAACTCCTTCCCCTGACAGAGTGATGTCAGAGGAGGCCTGATAAACAGATAATAATGCCCAGAGGCTCGAAACACAATACCAAAAATATCCAGGTTTCCATAGAAAAATCACTCATCATACCAAAATCCAGGGATATCTCAACTTGAATGAGATAAGGTAATCAACAAACATGAGATTATCATACTAAGTGAAGTAAGAAAGAGAAAGACAAATACCATATGATATCACTTATATATGGAATCTAAAATATGACACAAGTGAACATATCTACAAAACAGGAACAGACTCACAGACACAGAAAACAGACTTGTGGTTGCCAAGGGGGAGGGGGCTGGGGGAGGATGGACTTGGAATTTGGGGTTAGCAGATTAGATTCTATTAGATATGGAATGAATAAACAACAAGGTCTACTGTATAGCACAGGGAACTATATTCAATATCCTGTGATAATGGAAAAGAATATGGAAAAGAATGTATATATATGTATAACTGAATCACTTTGCTGTATAGCTGAAATTAACACAACACTGTAAATCAACTATACTTCAATAAAATAAATTTCTAAAAAATGCTTCAGCAAGAAATAATGAAAATGCTTGAACTAAATGAAAACATAAAACATTTAAGCAAAGAAATAGAAAGTCCCAGCAAAGAGAGAGAATACATTAAAAAAAGAACCAAATGGATAATTTACAACTGAAAAATACAATAATCAAAATAAAATCTTGGGCTTCCCTGGTGGCACAGTGGTTGAGAGTCCGCCTGCCAATGCAGGGGACACGGGTTCGTGCCCCGGTCCGGGAAGATCCCACATGCCGCAGAGCGGCTGGGCCCGTGAGCCATGGCCACTGAGCCTGCGCGTCCAGAGCCTGTGCTCCGCAACGGGAGAGGCCACAACAGTGAGAGGCCCGCATAGCGCCAAAAAACAAAAACAAAATAAAATAAAATCTTGCTGGAGAAGTAGAATGATGGGACAGAGGAAAGAGTCAGTGAACTTGATGAGAGACCAATAGAAATTACCTGGTCTGAACAACAGAGAGAAAATAGACTAAAAACAACAACAACAGTGAAAGAACAGAGCCTTGGGGAACTGAGGGATGATAAGAAAAGATCTAACATTCACTTCATAGGAGTCCTGGGGGGAGATGAAAGAGAGGATGGGGCTAAAAATTATTCAAAGAAATAAGGGCTGAAAACTTTCCAAATTTGGCAAGAGACATACACCTATGGATGCAAGAAACTGAGTAAACCCCAAACAGGATACATACAAAGAAATCCATGCCAAGACACATCAAAATAAAATTTCTAAAAACTAAAGGTAAATAAAATATCTTGAATGCAGTAACAGAAAAATAACACTTTACCTATGTGAGAAAAATAATTAGAATTACAGTAGATTTCTTATCAAAAACGATGGAAGTCAGAAGAGAGTAGCACAATATTTTCCAAAAGCTTACAGAAAATAACTGTCAATCCAGACTTCTATATAAAATGAAAATATCCTTCAGGAATGAGGGGGAAATTAAGAACTTCTCAGTTGAAGGAAAACCAAGAGAATTTGTCACTAGCTGATCTATCCTAAAAGAATGGCTAAAGAAAATTCTTGAAACAGAAATAAAATGATAGAAGGAATCTTGAAACACAGAAAGGAAGAAAAGACAACAGAAAGAGTAAAAATTTGGGTAAATACATAGACTTTCCTTTTATTCTTGAGTGTTCTAAATTATGTTTGATGATTAAGCACAAATGATAACACTTTCTGATGAAGTACTCATGATGTAGAGGAAATATTTAAGACAATTATAAGTGGAGAATGTGAAGGTACATAAAGGGAAGTAAGGTTTCTATACTTCATTCGAATTGCCTGAATGTTGACATCAGTAGACTATGATCTGTTGTGTATGTATAATAAGACATTGTAAAAAAGTATAGAAAGAGACACATTAAAAAACACTGTTTATAAATCAAAATGGAATTCTAAAAGATGTTCAAGTAACTTACAGGAAGGTAGAAGAAAAACAGAGAAATGAAAAACAGAGAATGAACAGAAAACAAAAATAAAATGTCAGACTTTAGCCCTAACATATCAATAATTACATTAAACGTAAATAGTCTGAATATACCAATTAAAAGATAGAGATTGACAGAGTGAATTAGAAAACAGCCACACTGGAAAATATTATAATTTGGCAGTTAAAAAAAAAATCAAACATACACTTAGCATATGACCAAGAAATTGCACTCCTGGGTATTTATCCCAGAGAAATGAATCTGTGTTCACAGAGAAGCCTGACTGTTCATAGAACTTTGTTTGTAATAGCCCCAAGTTGGGAAAAAACCAGAATGTCCTGTGATAGGTGGGTAACCAGTTAAACAAACTGTGGAACATCCACACCATGGAATACTACTCAGCAGTAAAAAGGAATGAACTCTTGATATAGGCATTATCAAGGTCTCAAGGGCATTCTGATGAGTGAAAAAAGCCAATCTCAAAAGGTCACATACTGTATGATTCCACTTATATAAAGTTCTCACAAGGACAAAACTATAGAGATGGAAAACAGATTAGTGGTTGTGCAGGGTTATAAGTGATGGGGGAAAGGAGGACAGGTCTGACAATAAAGGGACAGCAAGAGGATGATTTCAGTGGTGATGGAAGCATGAGGATGATCTCAGTGGTGATGGAAGAGTTCTGTATCTTGGGACTTCCCTGGTGGCACAGTGGTTAAGAATCTGCCTGCCAATGCAGGAGACACGGGTTCAAGCCTTGGTCTGGGAAGACTCCACATGCTGTGGAGCAACTAAGCCCATGTGCCACAACTACTTAGGCTGCGCTCTAGAGCCCACAAGCCACAACTACTGAGCCTGCGAGCCACAACTACTAAAGCCCGGGCCTAGAGCCTGTGCTCTGCAACAAGAGAAGCCACCGCAATGAGAAGGCTGCTCGCCGCAACTAGAGAAGGCCTGCATGCAGCAACGAAGACCCAATGCAGCCAAAATAAATAAATAAATAAACTTTTTTAAAAATTAAAAAAAAAAGAGTTCTGTATCTTGATTGTGGTGTTGGTTACATGAATATGCACAAGTGGTAAGATGGCATAGAACACACATTGTACCAATGTCAATTTCCTGGTTTCTGTGTTGCATAACTTTTAACTATGTAAGCTGTAACCATTGGGGGTAAGCAGATAGGAGGTGACAGGGACCTCTCTGTACTATCTTTGCAATTGCCTATAAATCAATGATTGACTGTTTCAGACTAAAAAGTTGAAAATAAAGGCATAAAAATTACAGAAGAGAGCATGAGTGAAAAAAAAAATCACCTAGAACTCAGAAAGGAAAGAATCAATAAATTGAGCTACATAAAAATAAAACTTCCATTTGATAGAGTAGACCATAACAGAGTCAAGAGATAGATAAAAATCTGGGAAAACATATTTGCAACATCTGTGGCAGACAAATGTGACAGGCCAATTTCCCAGCCTCAAAGAGTTCACATAAATCAATAAGAAAAAATAACCCAGTAGAAAAATGGGCAAAGGACGTGAACGGCAACTTACTGAAAAATAAATACAAATGGCCAATAAATGTGGGAAAGCTGCCCAGCCTCATTTTTAATGAAGGAAATCTAAAACAAACAACAGTGAAATGTGTTGTGCAATTATCAGATTGACAAAAATGGAAAACTGTGATGCCCTAGGGCTGGTGATGATGGAGAAGTAGACACTTTTCTACCCGGTAGGTGGGAGCGTAAATCAGTGCATTCTTTCCAGAAGACAATTAGGGAATAATTATGAAAATTAAAAGTACTCCCAGCAACCCCACTTCTGTGCAGTTAGCCTAAAAGCACACTCTGAAATTTCTCCAGATACATGCCCCCGGATATTTTTGCACCAATACATGCGGATTATATTTATAAAATGGTGACTGGCACATAGCAAGTAAGTGCTGTGTAAGTGTTTATTAAATAAATCAATAGGGGAACTCTACTGCAAAACTCTCTAAAAGGAACAAACAGCATGCGTACGAAAGGACTCCTTTTTGTATTTAAAAATAAGTATATGAACTTGCATGTGGATATTTGCACAACACATGTGTGTATTTCTGTATGGGAGTCGGAAGGAAGATGTTGCCTAATTTCTTAACTTGGTTCCTGTGAGATTGAAATGTTGTTCAGGAAATGTTCACTCCCCTCCCTCTTCCTTTTGGGGGTGAAGTAGACTTCTCTGCTTGAGTTTGGTCATGTGATTTGCTTTAGCCAATAAGATGTGAGCAAACATATAAATAGGCTTTACGTATGCTTCTGTGTTTTGGCTTGACATCTTGTGCTTCTGCCACTGGCGTGACAAGAACATGCTCTGAGTGATCACTGGTTAGAGAGAGACCTGGAGACCCACAGACTGAAGCAGGGCTGCTCCAGCCAACCTGCAGACCTATAAAGAGAACACTACTTGTCACTGTAAGCCACTAACATTGGGAGATTACTTGTTACACAGCATTATTACTATAGTAAGTGACAAATGTAGTACCTCTCTAAACTTTTTGATCATTTCCAAATCTTATATATACGTGCGTGTATATATTTTTTACTTTTCTATATATATATTTTTACTTACCATATATGATATTTTTTATCATTTATATTTAGTTTTATTATTAAAAATGTCAGTAGGATTTATCTAGGTGGAGAGATTATGGTGATTATCCCTTTTGAATTTTCTTTAAAAACTAAAAAATCTTAATAAATGTTATATTTTTTATTTATTTATTTTTTTTTGTGGTACGCGGGCCTCTTACTGTTGTGGCCTCTCCCGTTGCGGAGCACAGGCTCCGGACACGCAGGCTCAGTGGCCATGGCTCACGGGCCCAGCCGCTCTGCGGCATGTGGGATCTTCCCAGACCGGGGCACGAACCTGCGTCCCCTGCATCGGCAGGCGGACTCTCAACCACTGCGCCACCAGGGAAGCCTCCAAAATGTTACATTTTTAAAAAGGAGATTTGGAAAGTGGTTGGAGCAGAGTCTTATCCACGACAGTTGTAGGGAGACTTGGGTGCCACATAAGACAGAAGTCAACAGTTCTTTGCTTTTCACTGAAGTCTGCACATAACTTTGCAACTGACGCAGAGCCACCTGCACATGAAGAGCTTGGTTTGGGAGGCTGCCTGATGCCCCCAAGGGCCTGGCACGTGCCCAGGTGCCATCCCTAAGCAGAAGGGCCTTTCTGGGGCTGTGCCTGGATGGCAGTGGTGGAGGTAAGGTGACCCAGGGAGGAGCAAAGCTTGGCAGAAATGAGACCAGGACGCCCCTGGGTGTGGGGAGAGGGTGTGCCACTGCCAGCTGCCTGCAGGAGGCTGTCAGAGGAAGTCAGGTCCAAGGTGGGGAAGTAGAACTCACCCTGCAGGCAGCTATTCCTGATACCACTACACAGCCCCGGGGGCCAAATGTCAAATTTGGATCGGAGGGCTTTGAGGTTCCCACCGGCCTGGAGCCTACGAGCCAAAGCCCCAGAATCACACTGGGCTTGCTTCCGTAACTCACTTTCATCCTGGAGGCAAATGGTGCCCTGGATGGGCCTCTGCTGCTCAGAATCAGGATGTGCAGCTGGGCCAGGACAGCTGTCTCTGAGCTGGGGGGCACTCAGCTGAGCTTGCCTGGGTCCAGACCTGGTGTGCTGGATCGTGCTCTACCAGACTGGCTAAGGCTGGGGAACCCTGTTTCCCAGACTCTCCTCCCCTAAGTGATTTTGGGTTAAAGCTTGATGTGAGAGGAACTTGTGTAAGATTTGGAAGGTAGCAGTAAAGCAGCAGCCACTACTCTCAGAAGCTCGCGAGGCCTTATACTGCTGACACTGAGCACGGGTACCAGCTCATCCTTACTCCCCTCTGCCCTGTGTCCAGCTCACCTTCCCAGCTGCTGGCCCTGCTGACCAACCATGGCGCCAGGCCCCCACGAGTGTAGACATCAGCCTTGGCTTTTGGGGATGCACGGTGTTAGAAGCGGGCCCAGCTGGATGTGCTTCCTCTCCAGGGAGCTCCTACCCAACAACGCAGGCCTGGCAGGATAAGAAAAGAGATGGTTCCACCTCTCTGGTCTCACATGCCTGAAGTCAAGGTCGTCTTATGACTGGTGTGAATGTAGCTAAAAGCCAAACAACAGGATGCAGCCTGTGTAGGAAAGGCAATTAGCAAAGACATTTCTTGCATCTCTGTTTTCACTTATCTAATTAAATAAGATGCTCCGCTTACAGTAAAGGCAGCCACTCCTACAGACCTGGAGACTTGCTCAGCTAGGGGACTTTGTAGCTCTCACTTACAGGGGTATTTGTAACAAAAGTTCTTACTTTTGGTAAAAAAAAAAAAAAAAAGTTTTCCTCTAGAATAGAAACAGAACACAGAATTTTGACTTGTGAATGTGTAATTCTTCCTCCTTTTTGGTACCCCTTAGTGGTGCTGATCTATTCTTCAGCCCATGCGATGTAAAGAAAGTTACAGAACACATCTCAGAAGCACCTCTGGATTCTGTCTGCATTCACTGAGATGTCATCTTTGGACACTCACCCCATAAACCCTCAGTGCTTCCCTATCAGCAGTGCCTTTTTTGTTGTTTCAAAATAAATATACGGGGACTTCCCTGTTGGTCCAGTGGTTAAGAATCTGTCTTGCAGTGCAGGGGACGCCGATTCGATCCCTGGTCGGGGAACTAAGATCCCACATGCCGCAGGGCAACTAAGCCTGCGTGCTGCAACTACTGAGCCCACGTGCTCTGGAGCCCGCGCGTCACAACTAGAGAGAAGCTCGTGCAGTGCAACGAAAGATTCCGCGTGCCACAACTAAGACCCAATGCAGCCAAAAAAAAAAAAAAAAAAAAAAATATACGGTGGATACTTCGAGTTCTAAATGTTTTTTTCTCCTCCTCTCCTCAGCCTTTCTCCCTCTTTCCTATCCAAATTGGCACGTGAATGCATTTGCCTCGGATAAGTTGGGGACAGGGGAAAGCTAACGGAAACCAGTGAGTGTCTCCATTGTGATTGGCACCCAGGCCCCCTCAGTCTCATGAAAATGTTCTGGTTTTTATTTCAAAAATGTATAAAAAGGATTTCACAATACCATAGGTGCTCAGTTATAAATGAAACTGAACGGAAGAGTTTAGGATGAAGAGCAGCAGTGTCCTGACCACCGCCCCTCACCCCCATCCTACTTGCTCTGGGACAACCTCTCTGAACAATCCCTGCCTAGAGCTGCTCTGGTGGCAGCTGGAAGGCTACACGATATGCCTCTTCCTCTGCTTCTTCACTTGTCAAGTTAGGGAGTGACTACTGACCCTGCTGGGGTCCATGAGGACTTAGTTGATTTACACCACCCTCTTCTCCTCCTCTCCCAATGAATGACAGCTATGTTCTTTCCCTTTCTTGTGTTGGTTACCTGAGTGGAGTCTTTTAACACCAGGCGGGGCAATGCCAACAACTGGGCTTCCTTCGAGGGTGGGTGGAAGGTGCCCCGATGCCCTGAGTCCCCGTTGGAGGAAGGCAATTCTGGGGCGTGGATCCCCTCTGTCCTGATGGCCCAGTGGTCTGCCGGGGCGGGTGTTTCATAACCATCCCACTGCCAGTCCTCCTCGTGCTCCCCCACTCTGCTGAGTCCTGTGTCATGGCTCCCCCTGCCTCATTTCATGGTTCCATGCGGCCCCATCCACTTTCTCGTCTTCCAGAAACCTGCTGAAGTTTCTCATTCACTGATAACCATCCCTCGTGGGTACACTCCTTTTTTTTTTTTAATTTATTTATTTTATTTATTTTTGGCTGTATTGGGTCTTTGTTGATGCGCTGGCTGCAGTGAACAGGGGCTACTGTTCGTTGCTGTGCGTGGGCTTCCCATTGCGGTGGCTTCTCTTGCTTCAGAGCACGGGCTCTAGGTGCGCGGGCTTAGTAGCTGTGGCAAGTAGGCTCAGTAGTTGTGGCTTTCGGGCTCTAGAGCGCAGGCTCAGTAGCTGTAGCGCACGGGCTTAGTTGCTCCGCGGCATGTGGGATCTTCCCGGACCAGGGATCGAACCCGTGTCCCCTGCATTGGCAGGCGGATTTCCAACCACTGCGCCACCAGGGAAGCCCCATTCCTTCTTTATTTCTATCCTTTACTGTCTGTCTCTGCAACAGGAAAACCACATCAGCTTTTTAACAGGTCTCAAGACGCCAAACAGAGGCTTGAGGTTGGCAGCCAGAGGCAGTCCAGGCAGACAGTCTACAAAGGGAACCTGTGCACGATCTTCTGATGATGGCCTGCCTGGGCCTTTCTGGGTTCCCTTTATAGATGTTCCAGACGATTCAATCCATTCCAAACCTCCTCGTGGCTTTAAAACAATTGCTCACCCCAGGGGCATTTGGGAAGTATCAAGTCATGTTTTAAATGGTGGAGATAAGCTGGCTGTTGGATGAAACCAAGCTATGCGTCTCCTTCTCCCACAAAGATGGTCTCTCTGTCCATGAGTGGACACCCTTCTGCCAGCCTGGTCGGTCATTCAAAGGGCAACCAGTTCTTGTGAAGCCAAGTGAGAGTTTTGAATGATCCCCCAAATCTCTGTGAACACGTTTTCCATCTGTGAGTCTTGTGAAAATCCCATGAGGCTGTGTTATCCATATTCCAAAGCAGACCAATGGCTACAGAGGGACTCTGCCCCAGTCTCTGGACTGACCCCAGGTGCTGAAGCTGGGTTTCTAGACAGGTCTGGCTCCATCGTCCTGAGCAACTCCCAAGCCACTGCCCCCGCTCTGTCCCATTCCCTGCAACCTGTGCACCCGCACCAATTCATGGCTGTCCTGGTTACACACTCATTTTCTACCCGTCAATCTTCGGGGACTAAATCTATTACCCAAAAATGTTGCCACGCCTGAGCAGCCATCGTGGTTCATTACGTGCAGAAAGCCTGAGGTAGCCCCACATTGTCCGTGGGAAAGGGGGGTACTATTCTCAGGGGGGTAGGTCCCTCTCCTCTGTGAGCTGGATTCTTGGATAATGCACAAACAAAACTCTGCAGGATAAAGCGTCACTGGCTCTGGTTTACTTTTATCTTTTTCCAAAGAGCTTTAATTAAGACTTTAATAGAACTAAAAACGGTCAAAGTGTAGTCAGGGCCCAAATCAGAGGTAACAAAACCAAGCTGGATCCAGGATGAAAATGCTGCCTGGAAAATCCACAGCTGGGAGCAAACCGGATTCACCTGGGCTTGTGATGGGTGGGGCTCTGAATGAGGATGGGTGGTGCCTGGACAGGGGTGGGTGGAGCCTGGATAGGGATGGGAGGGGCCTGGATGGGGATGGGTGGAGCTTGGATGGGATGGGTGGGGCCTGGTTGAGGATGGGTGGAGTTCTGCATCTTCCATCAGTGATTGGAATAGGAGTAACAGGAGGGCAGAGCAGGCATGTGAGAAGAGGTGTGATTGAAGGGGAGGCCATGACCTTTGGACTTGAAACATAGCTCTGGCACTTTGCCAGCTGTATAAGATGAACAGGTTCTTTGCCTTGTCTCCTCATGAGTAATAGTCACCTTTTGTGCAGATCAAATGGTTGGTGCATGCAAATCACTTTGCACAGTGCCTGGCACCCAGATGGCTCTAGGACTGTACTCTTTTCTTTCCTTCTTCTGGATTTCCCATGCTCTTTCCTTCCAAGGGCTGGGCAGTGCACAGGAATTTATGTGTGCATGCATGAGGCCTGAATGCACCTGGATGTGTCCTCCCCTTGGGGAAGGTTTAATGGACCAGAAGCCAGGAATCAGGAGACCCAGGTTCTGGCCCCAGCAGTGCCTCTGACCTGCTGCTGTATGACCTTCAGCTTTCCAGATGCAGTTGGAGGGTTTTAGACTAGAGTTTCCAGCTTCCTTGAGTCCAAGGAACCCTGGATCCACAAGAATGCCCCTACAAACCCCACAGAGTCCTCAGTTCTTGCCCCATGGGTGTTGATGGTGGGAGATTCCCTGCCCTTTAGCTCCCACTAGGTGTCACTCTCATGGCTCATGGGCCTCTGGCGGTGGGGGGGGGGCCTGGTCACAGTCCCTGCCCACTGCGGGAATTTGATGCCCACAGGCCAAGGATACATCTAGACCTAACCGAGGGTAGCCAGGGTGTGCCCATGGGGGAAAGCTGGTCTCCTCCCAGCTCTGGGCTGTGCCCATTGGAGCTGGATGAAGCATGGCTGCGTCACCTCCTGTGGCCAGCAGGGAGCAGCATCATACACCAGGCGTGAGCAGGGCCCTAGGTGGGGGTAAGAACAGGGCTCTGTAGAGCTGGGAGAGGTTAAGACTGACCCCTCCCTTCTGCCACTGGCAGTTCTCTGGCCCCATAGTAACTAGAAATGAGCCCAAGGGATTCTTTCTCCAAATACCCTTGGGTCCTTCACTTGGGGCAGGCACACAGCACACAGTATCTGTCTTGGACCTGAACAGAAAGACTGGATAAGGATGTGCAGGGCCATCATCAAGCCACATCTGAGGACCATTCTGAGTCCTGGGGCACATACTTCCACCCAGCTAGCGCCTGGCTTCTCCTGGTTGAAGGTAGGTGCTTAATTGGTGCTCCCTGGTGTGGCCGTGGAAGTCCTTCCTTTTGCTCCCCTAGTGACAAGCACACCGGGACGAAACAACCCTCTTCGGAGAGGCCATTTCACAGTTATTGGTTTCATTAGAATGTTTTTCTTTCTTTCTCATCTTTTCCTTTTTCTGGATGGGATTATGGCCACTGCTGCCAACCGTTCCCAAATCTCATGTCAGGTGCTGCCGACCTGCAAGGTTGATTGGGTCAGAGCCCCGTTGGGTTGCAAGCTGCCTGAGCACTGTCTTGGACAAGGGCAGGCTGCTCACAGATTGTTCTTCCACAGTGATGGTGGCCTGTCTTTCCTGGTAAAATATGAGCTTCTGCCAACGTTGGTGCCCTCCAATCCGATTCTGGAAGGTCAGGGCTCGCCTGCTCAGAAGCTGGGGCAGGGGAGGGGGCGAGGACAAGGAAGTGACACCAGGCAGGCCTGATGCCCTTGACCCAGATGCTGCTCTGAGGCCCGCCCGCCTCTCAGGGGAAGACTGCACATGTGGGGACAGAGAGCCCTGGGTTTGAATTCTTGCTTCTCGTCCTACCAGCCTGGTGACCTTGGGTGTGTCACTTGGCCTGCCCCAGCTTCAGTGGCCCCTTCTGGGAGATGGGTCCACAGCCATAGGGCCGTGGTGCAGGTGCACTGAGCGGAGGCGAGGCAAAACATCAAAGACACACTTAGTGCTAAAACGCCTTAGTTCTCTCTGCTCCCAGTATGGCCCCCTGGGCCTGGAATTCCTCCACTTTAGTGTTGAAGCGAGCACAGCACACTCCTCCGGGGTGGTCACCTGAGCTTAATGGTTTAAACAGCATGTGACCAGCCAGCCTGTTTTAATGTGGCCGCTACACTCTTTCCCCCCTTGTCTTCACTCCATTGGGGAATGTCAGCCCAGTCTGGGGTGAGTTGGCGTGGGGCCCAGGCTCCCTCTCCTTCGCCTGACAATCACCTGCCAGCCCTTCCTCTACCTGCCCGGCAGCCTCTGTCCTGAGTCTCTTGTGGTGCCAAGGCTTTGGCTTGGGCTCTAGTTACAGCGGCTACCAGGGCGAGCCCTGATAGGAAAGCAAATATGTTTTTTTGTGTCAGGAAGAACATTGTGTGAAATAGGGAGGAAGCTGGGTGGGTGTCTGGCCTGGTTCTAGGTGCTCAGGAGACATCAGTGGACAAAATCAGACGGAAAAGTTGTGTGGGGTAAGGGCTGAGAGTGCAGCCAGGTAGGGCAGGGGACACTGCTGGGGAGGGGTTACAATATCAAATAAGGCGAGGCCTGTTAGGGGATGCCTCAGTGAGAAGGTGACATTTGAGCAAAGACTTGAAGGACACAAGAGAAGTAGCCAAGTGGAGACCTGGGGGAAGAGAGTCAGTGCAAAGGTCCTGAGGCTGGAGTGTGCCTGTGTGTTTCAAGCCCAGTGATGGGAGCTGAGTGAAACCACCTAAGGATTTTGGTTTTCACTTTGAATGAGATGGGAGGCACTGCAGGGTTTTGATAAAAGGAATGACATTACATGCTGTGGGGAGGTGAGGACAGAGAGGGTCAACCAGTTAGCAAGTGGTTACAGTAATCCATACATGAGATGATGGTGGCCTGGACCAGGGTGGTTGCCGGGAGTGGTGAGAGGTGATTGGATGGGGGGTGTGAGGGAAAGAGAGGAGTTGAGGATGGCTCCAGGCTTTGGCCCAGACGATGGAACCTGCAGTGATGGGGCTGCCATCAACAAGGATGGGGAAGACAGTGTGAGGCGCAGGTTTTGGATGGAAGATCAGGGGTTCAGTTTTCAGTTTGGATGTCTATTAGATGATCCCATGGAGATACCCAGTAGGCATCTGGAGATAGAAGTCCAGAGTTTGAGAGGAAGATCCAGGCTAGGGATGTACAAATGGGAGTCATCAGTCTATGGATGGAATTTAGACCGTGAGACTGAACGAGGATGAGGGAGTGAGGGCATATGAAGAAAAGAGGAGGACGGAGGTCTGAGCCCTGGAGCCTTTCAAAGTCAGGAAGTCAAAGAGAAGAAAAGGAACCAGCCCAGAGGGCCGAGAAGCTGCCAGTGGGGGATGGGACTGTGAGTAATGGGGGTCATTGCTGACCTTGACAAGAGCACTGTGACAGGCTGAATTGTGTCCCCCCAATTCAAATGTTGAAGCCCTAAGCCCCCTAGTACCTCAGAATGTGACTGCATCACCTTTAAAGGGGTAATTTATGGTGAAATGAGGTCACTGGGGTGGCCCTACTCCAATAGGACTGGTGTCCTTATAAGAGGAGAAGATTAGGACACGCACACACATAGGGGGAAGACCATGTGGGGACACAGGCAGAAGATGACTGTCTACAAGCCAAGGAGAGAGGCCTCAGGAGAGACTGACGCTGCCAACATTTTGATCTTGGGCTTCCAGACTCCAGAACTGTTGAGAAATTTCTGTTGTTTTAGCCACCGAATCTGCTGTACTTTGTTACGGTGACCAGAGCAGACTAATTCAAGCACCTTCAGAGGAATGGTGGGCAAACCCCAAGTGGATGGGCTTAAGAGAGCATAGGAAGAGAGGGACAGAGATGGGAGAATGTGGAGAACTTTTCAGAGTTTTACTACAAAGAAGAGCAACGACAGGAGTGCTAGCTTTCAGAAGAAGTGGGATCAAGGGATTTTTTTTTTTCCCTTTCCTTTAAAAACATTTTTTCTTCTTTTTTTTGACAGGAGATAGAACAGCTTGTTTTAATGCTGCTGGGAATGATCCCGTAGCCGTCACAAAAGTGATGATGTCGCAGGAGACAGAGGGCCTGTTGCTGAAGTGAGGACCATGGTTGGTGGGAGGGAGGGTCTGGTGCCCAGAGGAAGACCTGGCTCTGAGGCCCAGATGGTCCACCCGTGGAAAAGGCAGAGTTTATGGGAGCAGCTTATCAGGCAAGAAAGAGGATTGCGTGGCCTGCCCAGCACACGCTTCGGTTATCTTTGCCTTTCACTGTCTTTGTGGTTTTTTACAACTTGTAAGTTGTAGAACATTGATAATGATGCAAATGATTCCTGTCCATTGAAATGCAAATGAAGTGCGGCTCTTGGAAAGCAATTTATTACCGCCCTGTGGACAGACTGGTTTTGCATCTATTTGCAAATTCATTTCAGAGTCCTTTATTGTGATTCTTTCAATTCTCCTTTAAACCATCAGTAACATCTTACTAGTTCCCTCATTAATTAATGAATTAAATAAGACCTTTGGCAGGTGTTCATTTAATAGTTGTATGAGAGTCATTATTTTACCTTAAAAAAGTATCCTTTTGCAAGATGCCAATAGATGTGATGAAATAAAATTCTTATTTTATGGCAAGATGAGAAAAATTTAAACAGAATTTTTATTTGCCTGTTTGGGCCTCCTCCCTCCCCTTTAGTGTGGACTGTGTAGGTGCACTAACCAGACCTCTTTAGGAGATAATCTTCCTTCTTAATCTTGGAAGGGGCCACGTGAACCATGACCCACTGCTTGCTTTGTACATGCAGATCTGGATTGTGTAAACTGTCAATAATAAGTCAGTTGATATATAAACCTTTGTCCAAAAACTTATATAACTGTGCTTTGACCTCTAGCAGGCAGAACAGTCCTCAGAGCTTTCTGAAAGACTGTCTCCTGGTTTATAATCCTCAGGTAGGCTGGAGTAAAATTTTCCATTTCTTTCTTAGATGGACTACTGATTAATCTTTTTGTTGACAGATGCTGGGTGTCTTTGTATATTCTCTTTTGATGGGTGAAAATTTCCCATGATATTGGAGCTTGGAGCAAAAGCAGACCCCCGCCGCATCCCTCCACCTCCTGAAACCCTTACCTGGAAAGCGCTGAGTGCAGGAGGGAGACGTGGACCACGTGGAGCGACTCTGTATGTGCATCCATGAGCTGAGTCCTGGCCGGGCGATGGCCCAACCTTCCCGAGAGTGCCAGCCCCCTGGACCTGTGTGGGTTGGAGGGAGCCTCCATTGTACTCTGGCTGCAGGTAGAAACATGATACAATCATATTTCACCCCCAAATCACCACTAGCCCAGAAATGCCTAATTTGGTTTATTTATTCATGTGACTACAACCCTGATGAAGGTGGGGCAATCCAGTGGGCTAGTGTGACCCCAAGGGGACAATGCCTCCCACACAAGTTCTGGCCCTGAGCCAAGCTACTTCAGGATGAAAAAAAAAGGCACTGAGCTCAGCCCCCAGCCCACCTCCCCTCCAGGACACCCTCTGGGACCCATATCTGGTGTGACCCTTCTGACATATATAAAAATGCCTCAATGTTCCCGAATCTGGTTATATTTGGTCTTGTGCAGGCTTCTCAGAAATATCCACCTTACTTCTGGGTATACATATATATTGATTTGTGGCCTATTCCAGTCCTTAAAACTCTACTCAATTTTTCAGGCTTGGACCAAGTGCCACCACCTCCAGGCAGCCTTACCAGATTGCTCACAGATTGAATTCACTGCTCTCTCCTCTGTAGCTCAAGTCCCCTTCCCACCTTGAGTACATTTAGATGTTTAAATTCTGTTTCCTCTATTAGACTCACTCATTCATTCATTTATAAATCCATTTGGCTGAACTTGACTGAGCCCCTGCCATGCACAGGCCTGGTGCCTTCAGGTGCCTGTATCCCCAGGCAGGTTTACGTTCCTAGCACTGAGCACAGCACCTGCCTGTTGGGTAACAGGTGTTTGGTAAATAAGTAGATGCTGTGAACCCATCTGCCCAACCCTCCTGCGCTCAACACATCTTTGTTTAGACTTTTACCTGCGCCTTTGCTGATCACACTTTAATGAACATTCTTCCTCCCTTGATGGGAGAGCTGTGGCGGTGTGGTAAAAACTGTTGGTCAGACTGTTGGAGTTGCCTGCTGCTCTGGCCTGGGCCCCCGGCCACCGGGTTCCCACGCTGGCTGCACTTCAGACAAGCCTGCCCAGCCCCGCCGTCCTCCTCCACGGCCTCTGAGAGGTGAGGGCAGTGGGCTTGCTGGAGCCTGTCCAGGTGGTGTAGCTGTTGCCATTACCTGCATCAGTCTTTTGGGGCGGCCGTAACAAAGTACCACCAAACGGGTGGCTCGAAACAACAGAAACTTCTCTCACAGCTCTGAAGACCAGAAGTCCAAAATCAGGGCGTCGGCAGGACCCCACTCCCTTCCCAGGCTCTAGAGGGGATCCTTCCTCACCTCTACAGGCCTCTGGGGGCTGCTGGTGTTCCTCGCTGTGCCTTGGCCTGTGCACACATCACTCCAATCTCTGTTTCTGTCTTTACTTGGCCTTATTCAGTGTGTCTCCCTCTGTGTCTCTTCTCTTCTTTTAAAGACACCAGCCACTGGTGTAGAGCCCACTCTCACCCAGTACAACCTCATCTTAATGACATTTGCAAAGATCCTGTTTCCAAATAAGGTCACATTCTGAGGTTCTGGGCGAACGTGAATTTAGGGGGACACTGTTCAACCACCACACAGCCCTCCTGGGCAGAAATCCGGCATCACCCACATTCCCAGAGCGCTGCCATGGGTGTGCAGGGAAGGGAAGAGGACCCGGATGGTTGGGCCCCTCTCATGGCAGCCACCCGCCTGATCCAGTCATGACTCTCCTTCAGCCCTGCCTGGGGGCCCCGAGGCCCCCCCGGTCCAGCTGTGGTTGAGCCGAGAGTCCTGCCCAGGCTTCTGGTTCTGAATCCGAGTCTCTTCCTAGAGAGACAGGTTTCTTCCGCAGTGTGCGCCCTGGTCGTCCTTGGGCTGCCCTGTGTCTGGGTGAGCAATGCCACCTGAGGGGGCCCAGTATGGCATTTTGTAAGCACAGTGTGACATTCCTAGGTAGCTCTGCAGCCTCTGGGGGCAGAAGCCCTGGTTTCTGACACGTAAATTACTGTGTTGTTGCCAATGTAAGTTGTAAACACAAGTAAGCCCACGTCACAAATCCACTTTTATTAAAACATGTAACTTTTCAGTGTTATGGGTCCAATTTTCATTAAATGAGGAAGATGACCAAACCATCTGAGCAAGAAAAATTAAGGACAATTCTTTACCAATCAGTGGGGACTCTAAACGCATGAGTGAAAATGAAGATAGCCATTCCAGTATTTTATGTTAATTAAACTCTGGATATGACTCAGCTTGTAGAGAAGTGAAACATTGGTTCTTCGTCAGGCTATTCAGAGTGTTGTCCTTGGGAAAGAAGTTGGGCGAGTTGGGCCTTGTCTGTTTATGTTCATTGCTGTGAGCATCTCTGCCCTGAAGCACCAAGATGAGGCACAGCCCCGCTGCACAAAGGTCTTTTCTTATGAACACAGTCAGTTTGTGTGAGCTTCTTACAAGGGTTACGGTGTCTGGGCTTGGGTGCCCAGGGAACCTGGGTGCCTCGGGCTAAGAGCCTGGTGGGGCTCTGCCCCGCGCTTCCCAGCTCAGCCTCTTTGAGCTTCAGTCTCCTCCATGGTACCCTGGGAATGATGCCAGCAGCCACCTCAAAGGCTGCTGTGAGGATTAAATGCCTCCTTCCAGGAGAAGGGCCTAGCACTGGGCCAGCACGCGCAGTGGGCGCTCCGTGAAGCCAGTCGCTATTATCCACACTTGCCTGATGAGCGCACGCACAAATGTGAAATTATCAGCCCACCTCATAGGTGGGCCTTTTCCTCCCTCAGAATCACTCCCGGCAAGGAGCATCTTCTCCCCTTGCAAACTCTGGGGAAGTGGTTATCAGATGTGAACCCAGGAGCTCTGTCTGCTCTTGGCATTCAACCCTCAGCACAGAACCACCATGATTACAATTCTTACTTTTATCTGCTCTTTAAAGTAAACAACCAGTTCACACCCCGAGAGCTTACAGATTGGTAGGATATAAATACATCAATTTGTTTTAAGCTGTCGGAGAGAAGAATGACATTTTTAGCATTGAGAAGGGCTGAATCATGGTCTGGAGGGATGCAATTGGATTGACTGCTTTGAGGGGTCAAGTGTAATTTTAGAGTAGAATTAGTATGATTCGTGATAGAACTGTTACACCTACCCACCCCCCCAACCCCCCCCAAAAAATTCAGTTCCAGGCAAGGATTATGTATCTTTTTATTTAGTCGTTTTTCCGAAGTTTAAGATGTGCTTTTGGAGGGAGGTGTTTGTGAGTCGTGAAGCATCTGAAATCGCCTCTTCCTGCTGAGCACGTCTTTGTTCCAAATGTCAAAGTCATGGGGAAGCGCCCAGATGACACCTGAGTGATGGCCCAACAGATCCCATATCCCGGAGGTTCCAATCAGTTCCTTCCATTATCCCACCGTTGCTTAAGGGAGTGGACTGGGAAAAGCTCAGTCAGAACAAATGGACTTACAGGAAGAACTGAAGGGAGGCACCCACGAAATAGCTGAAAGACTTTAAAGCCACTGCACCTTGTATACTATTATGAAGGAGGAACAGAATTCCAAAGCTCTTAACCTTGGTTTCCTCATCTGTCTGACGAGGCTCATAGTGACCTGGCTGCCTTCTTGAGGGTCATCTTGGGGGTCAACTGAGGAGAAGGTGCCTTGGAAATGTGAAGGTTGCTGGTTATACCTCGGGGGCAGCCGGATGCCTGCCGCACTGGGACTTCCCCAGCCCCTCTTCCTGGCTTTCTCTTCTGCCTTCCCATAAGAGGGATTGATTTCAGAGTCTGAGGTCACGTCTACCGACCAAAGCTACTTTGAAAGAAAAACCAGCTGGATTCGGGCCAGGTGCCTCTTTCTTGGTTTGTTTTGGGGGAAGAAAATTTTAGAATCAATAATCAGAGGTTTGAATTAGTTAAACTTTATTTTTCAAAATAACCAGTTGCAGAATTGAAGCATTACCCACCACACACACCCCGTTCCAAAGCCCTGACTCTTCCACTTGCAGCTCTTGCAGTGCCTTTGTGGGGATGAGTCTTCACCCTGAGGCCCTTTGCTGTTGAAGGAAGAAGGTACGTACGTACACCCAGACGCAGCTCTATCTATGTACTAGGTTAGCCAGTAGCACAATATTTCTGGATGATCTTCAAACTATTCTGCTCAGATTTATTTCAAGTGTGGATTTAGTTTCTCTCCTGCACTGTTACTAGTTGGTAAGGACGAGTTTTGCCAAGGTAATTTGTTCTACTCTGGCCCAAGTGAGATGCAAAAATGAGAGACATGAAATCTTCAAAGTGAGAAAGGAAACAGCATAAATTCTCAAGTGAAGCACCTGCCGGCATGGGAAGGTCCCAGGGGAAGGCTGTGAAAGGATTCTATAAAGTTTTAATAGCTTAAGACCTAAGGTAGCAGAATTAAATGCAAGCTGGGGACCAACTCTTTTCTCGATCATATAAAATGTGAGAAAATCTCCATATCAACTCTGGCAGCTCCTTGGATCTGGGGGCAGAATGTGGGTGGATGCTTTGGAATTTCAAGGCACGCGTGAGTCCTTCTGATCTCATCAACAGAGATGGAGCCATTTGCTGGACCTGTGGAAGAGTACGGTACGACTGGCCTGTGGCTGCAGGACCCACCTAATAGCAGATACATCATGGAGTAGAAGATTTCAGCTTCCCAATGATGAGCGCAGATTCCTCATGTCTGTGCTGCATTCTTTAGTGCTAAGAAAGACCATTTTCTCTTCCTTTCTGCTGTGCTGTCAAGCAATGCTGCTGAATGTTGGCTTTACTCCCTTGGCAGTCATGCTACCTACCTACCTACCTGGCTTCCCTGAAATAATAAAATAGCAGTCCTTCTGTGCTTGCGGTTTTATTCAGGGAACCCAAGCAACAGTGCGTTTGTAACTGGATGGCTTCTGTTCCTAAAGCAAAAGGGAGCCTAGGGCCACAGGCCAGACGGCATCAGAGCTGGTGGGCACCGGCTCCCCAGTGAGCAGGGCCAGTCACTCACCCTGGCTGGATAGGGCTGTGGGCTGAGCTCTGTGCTTTGGGCCTGTGTTTTCTTGATGAAATAGCTCTGAGCACATTGGTATCTGGATCAAATATCTGCCACATTTGGAGACAGGGCTGCTCCTCCAGGGCCTCCGAGATGAAGTACAGATGCCTCAACCCAGTAGCCAACATCCTCCATGATCTGGAGGTGCCTGTCCTGTGGCCTAGTCCCTGCAGCACCTCCTGCCCAGCCGTTACATCTGCTGCAAAGGACAACTCCCCATCCTGGTTCATACGCTGCATCATCCTGTCTCAGTGCCTTTGCATGTGTCATTCCATCTGCTCTGATGCCTTTTCCTGCCATCTCTGTCAAAATTGTACCCATTCTTCAAGGCCCACCTCGCATGCCATCTCCAGGGTCCCCCCCGTCGCTCCCCTCGCTGTCCTCACCAGCTCTGCAGTACCTCCTATTGCGGTCTGCTTCGAATCATGCCTATCTGAGTTTTTGCCTCTAGCGCTCGGTTTAAGATTCCCAAGAGCAGGAACCTATATGGCACATAGTAGGTGCCAATTAATCTTAGTTAATAGTATGGCCTTTGCAGTCATACCTACTTATATTCAAACCTGAGTTCTGCCTCTTCATAGCTGTGTGACTTTGGGAAAGTTACTTAACCTCTCTGGGCTTCAGTTTCCTAAAAATATTTTTTTATAGTGCTTCCAATGTGTGAGGCCCAGTGCCAAAGGCTTTACACACATTATCTTGTTTATATAATGTAATTCCTCCTTGTTGGAGACAATCATAGCACCTCTTTACCTGGGTTTTGGTGGCGTGATTGTGAGATAATTCTCAGAAGCTGCTCATGGCCTTGGGCAATTAACAGTCCATCTGGGTGGATAAGACCTCTCATGAGAATAGGTGAGTAACTCACTGAGTACTGTGAGTCATGCTACAGAATTATTGAACCCAAGGAGGTTGTGAAAACCCCCGAATTTGTAGCCAGTTGGTCAGAAGTGCAGGTGGCTGGGGACCCCCAGAAGCGTGGCTGGTATCTGAAATTAGGGCGGCTTTCAGGAAGCCCTTAACTTATGGAGTCTGTGCAAACCTCTGGTGGCATCGAATTCTGGGTTAGCCAGAACTGAATTGTGGTACACCCAGTTGGTTTCTCCTTTCCATCCAACAGGGAAAATATTCCCTCACACACTCCTGAAAGGAGTCAGGAGCTTGTGATCCTTCTCTCTCCAGTGGAGGCTGGTGTGGCCAGAGTTTTGTTTAGCACAACTAACCCCCATGCTGGGGATAAGCAGGCGTTAGCATGAACCCTGGGCCTGAAAAGACCAATTACTTCTTATGTCCTCAACTAGAGGTGCCCCAAACCACTAAATGGCCCAGAAACCAAAGGCACAAATGAACGCAATCACCTTTCCCAAGTGGCAGAGGAGCCCTAAGAGAGTGTGTCTGGTGGGGTCTTCACTGCGATTAGGGGTGATGGTGTGGACGCAGGTTGAGGTTTTCACACAGCCCCACTGTTGGCTGGAGTTCCTGGCAGTGCTATCTTTGTAGAGTCGCTATTTAACTGGGTGACTTGCCTTGGCAGCCACGGAGCTCTCCAATCTAACATATTTGACGCTTAATCACCCGCAGCACCAACGAAGCCCTGCTCTTTTTGTGTGGCTAAAAAATTACAACATCCAGACATGGCTCAGTCATGCTCTGTCTACACTGCATTTAAAACACCTTTGCCCACGTGGAGCGTCCACACGGGCCAGGTCTCCTATTAGGAGTGTGAGCTTTAAAAAGAAAGCACAGGGAAAGGCTCAGACCTCACTCTGGAAGGTCTTACTTCATGGGAAGAGACAGTGAAATTCTTGATTCCTCTCATCACATAGCCTAGAGTGGAGGGGAGTGGGAGGGAGGGAAGGGAGGGAAGGGAGGGGAGTCGTGCAAATGGACTTGAAGGGCCGAATGTGTATTTCTGGAGTGTTCAATCCTCCAGGGCTTACACACCCTCTGAAAGGGAAATGCATGGTTTCAGTAATGGATCTAAATCCCTCTGAAGGTCTTAATCTCACTGTGTTCACTGTTGGCTGGAACAAAGCCAATATCCCACATGGCCGGTTCCCAGCTGCTGCCTCCTGCTTTGTTTATTT